TTTTGTCAATTTTAACGGTCGCCACAATAATAGAAAATTCATAGCGTGCGAAACGAATAAACTTCACTTTTATTAAACGATCGTGACTAAAGTGGCGTTAATCAAACTCGTTGCGTAATATAGCGTTAACCTTTTCTATCGCGCCACCGACGTGCATATAAAGATGAGCACGTAAGCAAACGAGACAAGTTTAAAATGTCATAGAACCGCCTTGAACTTGGAAGCTCCCGTAGTAATGAATGAATTACCAGACATCAACCTCGGGCGATTCGGAGAGAGATTTCCAATGCTGATTGTTTCCAGTTATTAATAATTGCTAACCCATAACAACAACGAGACGAAGATTTCAAATGCCAAACGTCAATGCCGATAAGGGGATCCGTTTGTGCAAACGCGCGTATGATAGTTTTTAGCCAAAGGTTGTCGATTGGAGTTCGTCATAAATCATGATTCGCAATGTAAAATATCCGCTGAAAAAAATGGCAACCCCAAGTAACACGAAAGAAGAGATTACTATAGAACAGAATGTTGTCAATTTGTTGTTGGCGCTCTTATTGCAGCTTAGACATTGAGGTGGTACATTAGCGAATTCATTATCGCCGACGTACTTATTTTACAGACGAGTATACTACGGTCATCCTTTCGGTTTTGAATGTATCAAGTTCATGATCAAGAATGCAAAGCGGTTCTGCCAATGTAATTATTTAATTGTTATTATCTTGTTTTTATCCTTTTGAGCTTCGGTCGTAACATTTTATCGCTAAACGGGGATATTTATTTATTTATATAAAATTAGATAAAATATGGTTCCTTACTGACTTGAAATCATTTTTGTCCAGTACTTTAAAAATACGTATCCTGTCATGCCAGGTCCACAAAAACCTAACAAACAAAAAGGAAAACAGAACAGAGTTCGTCTCAAAGCATAAACGCGATAATAAAAAATGGCCTCCAAAAATATTGCTTATTCTTAAATAGGGACAGGAACCGCTTTGGACCCAGTGTCTTAAATTAAGCGGAAGCGTAGGTGCAAGTGAACTCGACCTAAAAAGGAATATGTCCGCTAATATTAATGCATATCGTGCATATCAGTGTTGTGGGGTAAAATATATTTAGGGGAAAACGTGTAGTATTCTTTTCCTTTTCATACACGTTAATATCAATTTAAATAAGAGACGGTTTTATATTATTTTAGGAATCTTAAGGATAAATCTTTTGCTACCGAGTATAGTCCGTCTCAATCTTCATCGCGCTGGTGCATGTCTGTGCATGAACGTTAGGGAGGGTCTCTCAAAAATTTTCGAAATAATTTTTTTTTGTTTATTTAGTTTATTAAATTACTACGAAAAATCAACTAAAAAACGATGACAGGAAATATCTGCAATACATTCATAGCTTGGAATATCTATACATAATTTCATTTTTATTCTAAATGTCTAAATCGAAGCTTTCAATTGGTGTGTTATTAATTACATTTTTTATCAAATTTTTAACACTAGAAAGACAGTATGCCCAATCTCTTCAGCAAAATTATCACACACATACTTTTTTTTAATTGCATATGATTTTAGGTCCTAAAAAAATTGCGCTTTTTTGTAACTGAATTGAAAATAAATATCATATTCTAATTTCAGTTTTTGAACTTGATGAGGCTGGTGCTTTGCTTAACTGACGACTGTGGCAGCTTGCTACCACATGGCCATGACAAGAACACTGTTATAGGGAATATTTTTTTAAAGATTGTTTTGAAAGGAATTTTAAAAAAATTCGGCACTGATATCCCCATGATAATCCAATCTCTTAATATTCTTTGCAGACAACAGCAAGCAGTTTGTGACAAATCTGTCTTCTGACCCAGCGCGTATGAAGGTAAATTATGGATCTGTTGTCTAATCTATAACTTTTAATTTGTTAATATAAATGAAATCTCCAAGTGCGTAATTTTTGTGATTCCATTGCTATTTACCTTTTGTCATCTTCTTCTAGCTTCTTTTTCAGTTTATCCAAGAGGAAAACTTCGCTTTGATAAAGACAATATGTTTTAATTATTAAAAGATCCTGATCACTATTGTCTATACGGTGAGTTTGAAAATCACTACGTATATTCCTTTTCTTCAATTCTCAACTATTAATAATATCCCTTATCGACGATATTGGCGTCTTTGTAAGGTTTCTTTTAAAGCTTCTTGTTTAAAGTTTCATACACATTTTTCACAATCTGTTTTGCATCAAGCGACTAAGGATTTCGACGCGATATTATTATACTCTCGCAAAATAACTTTTTCGAAATGCACAGTAAATATAATTATGCCACTGCCACAAATGGTCAACACTCAAGAAATATATCAGAAAGAAAAAAAATACTTTGAGAAATCGTTTTAGCCGCTTATCCGTCTTTGAACTAAATGGTTATGATATATTTTTGCTATTATTAGAGATGACAATCTTGAAAATTCTTGTGTAGCGGTAATATATCCTTTAAGAAAAAGTTTATTACTTGTTGATATAATAAACTTTACCTTATATAAAATGATGTGTTATATGTTAAATTATCAACTCATATTGTGCAATTTAATTACAGGAAAAAGCGGACTCTTTCAGCGGCGTCACTAAGAACTAGACATTTCACAGACAAGATATCAAAACACAAATTTTTTATACGTGATTTCGGTGAAATTTTCTTAAATTGAACAGAACTATGCGTCTAACCCTACAAGAATGAACTAAAAAAATCGATTAACCCATATTATCCCAAGCATAAAAAAAAATAAAAAATTCCGTTTTTGCTCTGAAATTATTTATTTTGTTGCACTTAAAAATACATTACATGTGTCAAAAAAAAACTCGAAACAAACAAAAAAATACTGGTGCATAAACGAACCACTGGGAAAAAACATTAAATAATGTTTTGGGGCACATAAGATGTAAAATATAATTTATACATAAATATACAAAAGAAAGTTCAAATTCGAATGAGAACATCTAAAAGTAGATTGTTTTCCAAAGAGAACCTAATTTGATACAAAGAAAGCCATAATATAAATCATAAAAAATATTTCAATCGGAGCTTTTCCGGAAAACCTATTTTTTCGTTCCTCACATGATCTAAATTCATCGGATATAGGTGTGTGAGTGTATTCAATCTGACCTTTCTTCCACAGCAGAAGCAAGCCTGACATTTGCAGAAAGCATACGTCTTCCTTTGAATTCCAGGGTTTCATCATCTGATGAGTATCATTCAGGTTCAGTAGTTGATGAATTACAGGACTGTTGAAGGACAGCTGTATCATTCGGTGTATGTAACTCGAAAGTTCCAACTATATCAGTTGGTTCCTCAAACTCTTGTAGATTTATGTTATAGTTCATATCTTCTTCGTCAGTTGAGGTATCTACGTCGGGTGGAATATAGATCTCGTCAATATGTTCTGTAAATATTTTTTCACGTTATTTTCAGCATAACTTTACAAGGAATGCATATACATAATACAATACTTAAAAATACGTAAATCCAAATAATACTTACGACTTTCATTGCTATTGTCCTCACCTATCACGATCTCCTCTATAGCCGCCTCTAATTCCTTTTGAGCCAAATACCTCGAAAATGCCATATTTTACGAACTGTAACGTTTATTGCACAAGGCACAAACTAATACTAAAGAACACGCTAGTTGTTGGATGTTTATTCTACATGTGCTGACTAAAACAACTGGTGGATTCAGGCACCAGTAAATATTTTCAAAAAATAAAGCATAGTCAATATTGCATTTCTAATGTATTTTTTCCGCGATGTGATCTACATGCTATAGACTTAACAAAAATGGCAATACAAATCCAAAATATTTTTTTTTACTATTTTGAGTTTACTTGAAAATGTGATACAAATTTGTGTCTTGCCTTTGTTAACTTTTGAAGTCATATATAAGATCTTTCCTTTACACATAAATTAGCGATTTCTACGGTTTGGTAATGATAATAATAAAATTCCTAAATGGATGTGCAAAAATATTTCCTAGATGTGACAAAAAAAATCATAGAATAGGTGGTGCATTAACGCACCACTGGGACAAAATGGGTTAACATGCTTCGAACAAAATAAAGAGGATAGACCTGCTCTGTGGTAGACCACCAGCAAAGCGTTCGCTCTAAATGAAGTCTCTCTTTTCCGAGGAAATGTAGCAATTATGTTAAGTAAAATGTTAAATCCTTAACACATTAACATTATATATATTCATATTACCACAATATTACAACCATTAAATTTTAACAAGTTTTAGACTTATTTTACAATGTGTGTGTGGTGTACTTGTATATATCAAAATATTTAAACTGACTGTTATTGTCTTCAAAAGTGTTATTAAAAAAATTATCGCTTCATTTGTACAAATTATAACTAAATAAAAATTACTAAAATCCGTTTGATATATATATATATATATATATATATATATATATATATATATATATATATATATATATATATATATATATATATATATATATATATATATATATATATATATATATATATATATATATATATATATATATATATATATATATATATATATATATTGTTGATTTCTGGATTGCAATGAAGTGAATTAGTATCAAATGAAATGCAAGATATTGACCACTCATATACGGGTCTGACGTCTTACTTGCACAATAAAACCTTTCCAGGAATTTAGATAGCTGAGGGGTTCAATAAAATTATATTGCTCATAAGATGACCATAAAAATTATTAAAACGCATTTCACTGTATATCTGGTTGCCAATTTCTTCATAGAATTTTTAGTTTTTAATGTACCATCAATTCTAAATGCCTCTAGTGATGACCATAAAGGAAGGAGCGAATTAAAAAATATATATTTTTTGTGATATGGAATATCCACGACATAATACTGAGGTTTGTTCTTGTTGGGCGATCGATCCCAACGCCTTCACCTTTATTTTGCTAATGTTTCTCTGAGCACAGTATATTCCTCAAGTACTTCCACGTTAGTCCTTGTATTGAACATGTCAAATTTTTAACCAAATTTTCTGGAAATTAAATAAATGTTTTTATTGATTTGGCAATTTGAATAATACCACGTTTGTTAACAAGGTTAGTTGGTGATATTTTAGAAGCGGAGAAATAATAATGTTCTACGTATTGCTGAAATTGTGGACCTAACCTCACTCTTCCCGATTCACCTTGCGAGGGTCATTTCCAACTTAATTCTTCATACAATTTCGTTTTGAACACGATATCAAAGCAAAACGACGTTCCTTAACTCTGTAGTCGGTAGGGTGAGTTTATAGAAAATGCTATTTTTGTCAATGTCAATCCATTCCTTAGATTACACCAAGTTGAGTAATTCAAAGAGATGGAAGAGTATACACGTGAACCATGTCCCTGGCGTATCGTAGACGACTGTGGGGGTGCTTTTACCATGGGTCTTATCGGCGGCGGCGTTTTTCAAAGTATAAAAGGGTTCCGAAATGCACCTTCTGGTATCAATCGAAGGCTGGTATGTTTTAACTATTAATTGTGTGGTTTTTTCATTACATGATTATTGTTTCGTATAGAACTCGTAAACTACTTAAACGTAAATTGAAAAACTTCACTATTTATTGTTTAAGCTTGGCAGTGTGACAGCCATTAAACAAAGGTCACCTATTATAGCTGGTAATTTCGCGGTTTGGGGTGGTATGTTTTCGACGATAGACTGTGCTCTGATACACATCAGGAAGAAAGAGGATCCCTGGAATTCAATCATCAGTGGGGCTGCCACGGGTGGCATATTGGCAGCAAGAAATGGATTACCTGCAATGGCCGGCAGTGCCTTTATAGGTCAGATCTTGGTGTTTTAAGATTCGCCCCACTCTCTAGTGAGTTGTTGTTTTACAGGTGGTGTCCTCTTGGCTTTAATTGAAGGTGTAGGAATATTGTTTACTAGATTAAGTGCAGAGCAGTTTCAGCCCCAGTTGCCCCCCATGGAAGACCCATCACAGTTGGGCCAAAGTCAGCCTCCTCCAGGTTATGCCTATCAATAGTCTATCTAAAACTTTAGGCACATTTTTGTCCCATGGTGTCATCAACTGTAATAAAACATGTGATAGAGCAATGGACAGGCGTGCGTTTTACTTTGCCTTGTTTTTTGTTCTTTAAATGGGTGATGCTGATTAATTTATTGAAGGTTTCTTTGAATTTGTGCAGCAGTTTTACAAAAACCCTAGGAATAAAAGAAATTTATCCACGTGCTTTGGTTTTATTGTAATTAATAAAAGACCTTCACGATTATAGGAATGAAACCCATAGTCTTTTTTGGAGATTTGATCTTTGGTCCCCCTCTTCTTCTTTTTCTGATTAGCTCAAAATCTGCCATTAAAATTTTATGAAGATCTGTTGGGCAGCAAAGTATAAGCTTGTTTATGTTAAGGTTGGTGAATGGTGGTGAATATGAAAATGAAACAAAGGTAATAAATTTAACAATTCCTTTATAATGTGGTACAAAACATATATAAATTTTCTGAACATAAAACAAAAATGACATATATAAATAAAAGAAAAAAACAGAAGGGATTATGCCCAATATTTGCTTGCATTAAGAATAGGGGAGATTAATAAATTACGTTTTCGTAAATTTGATAATGTTACTAAATTAACGAACACAATTATTATAAAAGTACAAAAGAATATCAAAATTATTTTTTTTAAACATACACATGGTTATATTCGCGCAAAGCCTTCATTTAAAGTTTACTGGATTATTATCATCTCCTATTTAAAGTATTTCCAGCAGTAAATTCCTGACACTTCCCTTAAATTCTAAATGAGCCAAACCCATTATACTTGATCAAATTTAATTTTTATGGTTACATAACGTGTTGCATTAGTTTCATTTTTACATTTTGCGAGCAGGAGCTCAAATTTCTGTCAACTGTCAGACTCTTAAATAAACACATTGCGCAAATAACGTTGTGCCATTGTATATCGCGGTAACTGCTTTCATCACCATCACACGTAACTTTCATTCTGAGTAGAGTAAGCTAGGAACGAATCCAGAAGCTTTGGTTCCACCAGTTCCTGAGAATCCTGTACACTCAGCACGTCAGCGCCGCATACTTCCGCGATTTTTCTCAATGTCGCCTAAAATACGTCAATTGTGAACTTTGGGTCTTAAATTCAAGATCCTAAAATTAACAAGTCAAGAAGGGACACTTTCCCCCGATCAGAACATTATCAATGTCTGTCCCTAGATACTTTGTTGCACTTGTTGAACACAAATATTTTACTTGTCGCACATATTAGACTGATAAAAATGTCGAAACTTTCAGGAAAATACGCATTATATCTATATTTTATTTGGAATATCTGTTAAGATGCTCTATATAAGGCTAATTTCGTTACAAATAGCACATATTATGCACTTATTTGTTTATTACTTATTTATAAAGTATTATTTAACTTAACTAACCAAAAAGTTTAATAAATTCTAAATAATTCATTTTATATGTAATTTTATTTTTTGGCTACCAATATCTCGTCATTTACACAGATTTTTAAACTATTTTTCCTAAAATTGAACTGAGGTGGCTTTTATTTGTTGAAAATCCATTTATAAAAATAAATAAGAACTAAAAGTTCAGATTTTCACGAAATTATATATTTTTACATTACAATTGTTTCGATAACACCCTGTCTTTATCAAATGTAATATTTGCAAACTATAAGGTTGTTCGGAAAGTCATTTCGTTTTTTCCCGTCAGAGGACTTAATTACGTTTTTTCGAAACCGACTTCACACTTAAGCCGCATAAGCATTATATGTCTTGAGAGCTGATATTGCAAGGCTTGTGTGTGAAAAAGTTCTATTAATTCTACGTAGTAGTTTTTGGTTGGTGCCCTTTTAAATATGGAGAGCAATAAGCAGCATTTTCGTCATATTTTACTTTTTTACTTCAGAAAAGGTAAAAATGCTGTCCAAGCGAGAAAAAAATTGACGGATGTGTATGGAGAAGGCGTGTTAACAGTACGCCAGTGCCAGAACTGGTTTGCAAAATTTCGATCCGGCAATTTTGATGTCGAAGATGCACCACGGTCTGGAAGGCCGGTCGAAGCTGATAAAGATGCGATAAAGGCATTAGTTGTCGAATTCGACTGTTTATGGCCATTTGAAAGGCATGGGCTTAACCTCGAAGCTCGATGTGTGGGTGCCCCATGTCCTTACAGAGCGAAATTTGTGTCGTCGCGTTGACGTGTGTGATTCGCTCCTCAAACGTCAAGAAAATGATCCATTTTTGAAGCGGATTATTGCTGGGGACGAAAAATGGGTTGTATACAACAATGTTAAACGCAAGAGGTCATGGAGCAGAAAAGATGAACCGGCTCAAAGCGTGTCAAAAGCCAACATTCACCAAAAAAAGGTGATGCTCTCCGTTTGGTATGATGTCAAAGGAATCTTTTTTTTGAGCTTTTGCCGGACAATACAACGATTAATTCAGAAGTCTATTGTCATCAACTGGACAAATTGAATGATTCACTTAAAGAGAAGAGGCCCGAATTAATCAACAGGAAGGGTGTAGTGTTCCACCAGGATAATGCGAGACCTCGCACAAGTTTGGTCACTCGCCAAAAACTTTTACAGCTTGAATGGGACGTATTGCAACATCCGCCATATTCTCCAGATCTGGCGCCTTCCGACTACTATTTGTTCCGGTCCCTGCAAAATTTTTTGGATGGCAAAATCTTTACCTCAAATGGAGATGTCAAAAACCACCTGAACCAGTTTTTTGCCAGCAAGGACCAAAACTTTTATGAGAGGGGAATTATGTTACTGCCAGAAAGATGGCAAAAGGTGTCGGACCAGAACGGCCAATATATAATTTAATAAAATATTTATTCATTATACGAAAACTGTCTTTCATGTTCCCCAAAAAAAACGAAATGACTTTCCGAACAACCCAATACTTGCTACCGAAAACTGACCGAAAAAAACCTTACTTAATGTTGTGGGAATTTCAGTTCAATAATGGAGATGAATTTGATTCTAATTGATCGTTAAGCAATACATTTGCATGTCCCATTTTGTTAATCTCCATGGTTTCCAATAAATTTAATTTTCTACTTTTTGTGGCTTTATGTAAAATATCAAAATTGTCGTTAAACATGTGTTTTTCTGTGGTTAAGTGTGTAGTAGCATAATTAGAATCTAGACTATTGTTTTTCAACGCTCTTTTATGTTCGTTAATGCGTTTATTGAAGGATGTACCTGTTTGTCCAATATAAATTTTAGGAAAAGATCCGCATTTCAACCTGTAGACACCTGATTTTTGAGATTTTGGACATTTCGTTTTATTGTTTTTAAAAATTTTCCTATTGTGTTGTTAGTTCTGAAAGTTATTTTTAAACCACATTTTGACAAATGTTTTGAAACTTTTTCACTTTTTTTTGTTCGTGTTCTGTATTAGGTTTCGGATAAATAGAATTTACTGTTGTCTGGATTTGTTTTTTATTTATTATTATTTAATTTAATTTTATCTGTAATTTTATCTGTAATAGCCGTTGTTCAGTGCAATTTGTTTAATGATATTAAATTCTTTGTCGCAATCTTCTATTGAGAGTGGCGTATTAAGAAGTCTGTGTATGAAAGAGTGAAATGCAGCCATTTTGTGTGCATAAGGGTAATGAGTTAATGTAATTTAAAAAAGAATAAAATTGTCTGTCCGCTCCAACAAGGCAAGCAAAGACATCATCCACGTATCTATACCACCATAGAAAACTTTTACTTAAAGGATGTTCTAGTATGATATTTTCCAAATTATCCATAAAAATGTCGGCTAACAAAGGGCTAAGTGGGTTTCCCATAATCAAACCTACCTTAGATATGTAAATTTGTACATTAAATTCAAAATAATTGTGGTCTAAAGATACTATTAAGCTATCTAATAAATCTTGTTTGACCAATGGGTTAACCTGTTTCCGAGTTAGGGTGAACTCTACTAAATCTATCACATGCATAGGTGGAATACTGGGAAATAAGTTTTGTACATCAAAAGACAATACTGCTGCGTTAGAAGGGATTTTGATATTTTTAATTTTGTTGATTAATTCATAAGAATTTTTTATTGCTAATTTTGGTTTAAAATCTGTGTGGAACTTTAAAATATTTACTAATTTTGTTGAGAGTTTAACTGCTGGAGCTGTTACATAATGGCATATCTTGTTTATGTAATTTAACTAAAGAATATAATTTCGGCGGTTGTGGATTCATAATTGTTAAAAAATATTTGTCTTTGTCACTAAATAGTGTGGAGTTAGTAATTACATCCTTGACTTGTCTTTGATATAACTCGGTAGGATCGAGTTTGATACATTGAAAAAGTTCCGGTTTAAGAAAATTGTGGGTTTATGAAATATATTCTGGGAGATCGATAGCTATGACTGTCTTCCCTTTATCTGCACTTGTAAATATTTTGTTATTTTCAGAAGCTTTGTTTTTTATAACATAATATTTACACGTGCAGATAAAGGAAAGACAGTCATAAAATGTATATTGGACAAACAGGTAGATCCTTCAAGAAATGCAGTAAGGAACATAAAAGAGCGTTTAAAAACAATAGTCTAGATTCTAATTATGCTACACACTTAAACACAGAAAAACACATTTTTGACGACATTTTACATACAGCCACAAAGAGTACTAAATTTAATTTATTGGAAGCCATGGAGATTAACAAAATGAGACATTCAAATGTATTGCTTAACGATCAATTAGATTTAAATATCTCTCCTTTAATGAACTTAAATTCTCACAACAACATTAATTAAGGTTGTATGGTCATTTTTTGGTATATATAGTAGCAGGTAGTTTGTAAATATTACATTTGATAAAGACACGGTGTTGTCGAAACAATTGTCATGTCAAAATATATAATTTTGTGAAAATCTGAACTTTTAGTTCTTATTTATTTTGACTATTTTTCCTTGTTATTTAACAAAATTACATTTAAGAAGACAGCAAAGCTAACCAAAACGCAAATTATATAGTATGTTTCCAACATGGATACCGGCTTAAGTTTGAAAAAATGGGTATATATAGCTCCAAAATAAGAAATATTACTTGAAATGTAAAAGGGTTAATTACAACAAAAATTTGTACGTTTCAGCAGCCTCCCGTATACAAACTTCGAGATCTAACTGCAAGAAAAGTCCGGCAACTTTTTGTCTCGTGAAACATTTGATAACTAAACTACAAACTTACCAAGGCAGCGACCAACACGGCATCGCTATCGAAGCGTTCATCCCTTTCCCTGCATAGTTCTACCAATCTAGAAACACCACCACACTCGACGAACTCTTCTGCTGCTCTTTTATGGCCGCACAGCCGCGACAACGCGATCACGCTCTTCTGCTGCAATCTTCGCTCCACTTCCTCGTTATGGCGGATGCGCGGAGCTCTCAAAAAGTGGAGTAATGCGGACGGCGCCTAAAATCCATTCCCGAAGACTTCCATCACGACACATTGTCAAGAATCCAAAAACTCACCTCCGCTTGGCTGAGGTGTTCTCGGGCAACCTCCACAGCTGCCATGTTGGCGAGCAGCGTGGCCACCTGCTCAAGCAGGTAGATGGAGACCAAAGGGCCGCGACTTTTGACGCATTTCAATAGTACCGACGCGACTTCGTATTGGAGCAGGTACTTTACGCAGTTGGTATCCATGGAACTGAGGTTGGCTAAGGCCGCTGCGCAGAGCAACAAGTTCTGACAGCACTTGGTTGATGATGCGAACTTGGTTAAGGAACGCACTAGTTTTCTGGAGTATTCTTGCAGACCTTTCACCTAGGGAAAAATTGAAAATATGTTTATCTTTCACCAAAAACGAGCTGGGCCTAAACAGGGTAGCCCACGACTGCGCGATCCTTAGAAGATATCTATCTCATAATTGTTCATTTAATTATTAACTGATTTAGCCTCCCTTTTTTCAGGCTGTGAAACTTGTAGGTACCGTGGGTTCAATTTATCTTGATAACATTTTAATTGCTTGCAAAAAAACAAAATGTAGAGTTTGTATTCAAGTTTTTTTCCAAGTGACGAATGAACACACAGTATATTATATATGTGTTTAATACAATATGTCATTCCAATTCCAATGATGTAACACACTTTATATTTTAGTCCACTCGTTTTTGACAAATCGTCAAAAGTAGGAAATTTGAATAAAATTTCCAAGAGTGCCCTGACTGCCAAACAAAAATATGTTTATGTTTGACATATTAGTATGCGACATTGATGGTTGAATCATTGTCCAAGTCATTATTGTTAAAATGGTTTTTCGCGAGTTTAGCATCCGTGAAAAGAGTGATATGCTGTCAGTATAGTAGACTTTATCCAAAGCACTGAACTCCTTCAAAACAAATATTTCCAAGGCTGGCAAAGAAATGTGCAGAAAATGGTAACGTATTAAGTGCTAAAAACGTATACCGGAATCATAATGCTTTAAATGAAAATAAGGCAAACATGTTAAGATTCTATGAAGCACATCCAGTTTCCTACTAGAGCATATGAAGAGACAGGTATTTCTCGGAGATCAGTCCACTTTGTTTTGAAAGAAAATAAAGATGCTGCATTTAAATTTCGTAAAACTTAAAAACTTGGTGCAGAACAATGTCATAGAAGGATGCAGTTTTGTTTGGATTTTTCAAATAGACATAATGTTTGGTAGCAACCAATTAATGTATGGTGTGGTGTCATAGATGGGTATATTTTGGGTCCGATATTTATAGATCAAAAGTTAACTGGAGATTATTTGCAACTCTTAGAGCACCAAATAGAGAGCAATATATAAAAGATTTACGGCCAAATATATCAGCGTTGATTATATGGCAGCAAGACCGTGCCACTCCTCACAGTGTTTCTTAACGTGGAATATTCCAGGGGTTGGATAGGGAACGCCGGAACTATGGATTGGCCAGCCAACAGCCCCAACTTAACTTGGATTTTTTCTTTTGGGGACACATAAAAAATCACGTGCACAAAACTCATCATCATGTCATGGAACTTCGGCAAAGGATTTCAGAGGCAATCAATCAGTTAGGACACAATCCGGAAACGTTACTAAATGCAAGACATCATAAAATTAGAGTGTATGAGAAATGTGTTTTTCACTTTAGTGCTTCTTGTCATTTTTAGTGTTTTTGTTCTACTTAAATTTGTAAATAATTATTATTGTTGCAGTTGAAATTATATAAATATTTTTGCCGATTTGTCAAAAACGAGTGGACTAAAAAGTTTGTTACATCATTGTATCGGATTAAGATATTCTATTAAACCCATATATAATAAACAGGGTGTTTTGTTTTATACATCACTTGGAAAAAATCTTGGCTACTAACCCTACATTTTGTTTTTTTGTTTACCTTGATATCTCTGTAAACAAAAATGTTACAGCCAATTAAAATGTTATCAAGATGAATTGAACACACGGTACACTCGTTCTGGATTCATCCTCACTCAAAATCCAGAAGGAATGTACCCAACGTTATTATCTCTATCTGTGATAGCTTCGAAGATTAAACAAAAAATATGCATTGCTTGGGACTATTAAACCAGGCCTGTTGGCAACATTGACAACATACCGAATGATTATCCTCTAACCAGGGGGCTGTAATTTGAGCCAAGAGTCCTACGGCCTCGCTCCTCTCCGGCTCCGGCCTGCTGTCTTCCTCGATAGTATCCGCGATAATCTGGACTCCCGAAAACTTCTCGAAATGGCGCACTGCCGATGAATGACTGCACATCGTGCTTAACGCTCTGAGAATGATAGCCCTGATCGAAGACCCTTCACATTTTTCACAAAGGATCAACAAGATCGGTATAATGTCGGCCTTGACGAAATGGACGACCAAATCGGTATTCCTCAAGGCGACCGATATTATGCCGGTCAGCGTCGCTCTGAGGTCCATCTCAGAAGCGGGATCTTCGATTTTGTCTACCAACTTTTTCACCTCTTTGACTAGAATTTGGTTTTGCACGGTTTCCCACTTGTTGAAGAGTTGCGCCATGGGCTCCAGAACCCGGTCGGAGTTTAACGTTCTGATCTCGTCGTGGAGCGTGAGGATATCCGAACTCACACGGCTCGAGTACGTTTTGAGGAAGTCCAGGATGTTTCCCGCGAGGCTTTGGACCAGTGGGTTGATCTGTTTCGTCTCGCTATCACATGTAAAAATTTCGGATAGCTTAAATATTTGAATGAAAACAGCTGAACAAATTTAAATGTTCACATGGTATTATTTACTCTAGAAAATTAGCCGGCAATAAAAAAAACAGTACAGTTAATAAAAATAATACAATAGAAAAGAAAATATTGGAATTACTCTAATGTTTATTGTTATTCGTCAACTAGTAGTGAGATTTGAGTAGAAAAGTCTTGAGTAAACAAGATCAGAAATCATTTTAACACAAACAATGCTTTCTTATTTCAAACTGACGGGGAACGGGTTATAAACAACCATGTGTAATTAAATGCCTATGGCTATTAACTTAATAATGAAATAGGAAGGAGCTTTACTTTTTGTGAGTTTATATAGAAAATAGCTCCTAACCGTATTATATCTTTCAGTCAAATTTAGCAAGCCAGAATTCTTCAGACTATCTGATACAAATTTGCGCTGATCGTAGCATTAACGTACGAGTTTTGAAACCTTTGAAAGCTCTCTTTATCCCTATTAATTATAGCTGACCAGTAAACTATTCCACAATAAGGGAATTGGAAGAGTATACCACTGATACTGAGAAAAGCTTGAGTTTTATATATTCACATAAAATTTGTTTATGCAAATATAGTGATTTAAATTTATAGTATGATTTTTTCAATATTTTATTAACATGATTATTAAATGACAAGCTTGAATCAGAATGAGATCATTCAAATTTTTACATGATGGCCATGTTCTTTCTTCGTTTAAAAATAAGTTAAATACTCCAAAAGCATCATCTCATATTATCATCCCTTGCCCAAAAAACCTTAAGTTTGTTAAAAGAATTAAATGATTAAGGTTATTATCAACTATTGGAATTAAATCAAATTTTGATAAGCATTTTTTTAGTAAAAAATCCATAACGTAGAATTTTTTTCGAAAAAAATAAAAACACTTGTTGACTTTACATGTATATTTTAAATCTCATTTGAAATATTACTTCCTAAAAAAATTAGATTACTAGAAAAACTTAAATATTCTAAAATTTTAAGCAATTTGAGCGCATTATTAAGGCTTTTTCAAAAAATTAGATTAAAGAAAGACATCCCCATTACTAGCCGTCTTTTTCTATTGTAAATTTTACTTCACTTTGCTCACATTCCAGTTTAGTTCGAGTTCACTGACTCACTATGAAAATCAAGATGGCAATTACGCCTCCTGTTGTCTTAATTAGCTCTACGAGGTGTGTTCAAAAAGTAAGGTGACTTTTGTAATCGGGTGGGCTACGTACATTCGATCTTCGATTTTTTGTTATGTTGATACACATTAACAATTTCAGTCAGTTTGCACGTTTACTTTTTTCTGTGAGACAGAAACGTTGGATATGTTGATATGGAAAAATATGGAACAAAGAATTTGCATAAAATTTTGTGTAAAAAATGGAATACAGTGCTGCAAAACACTTGAAATATTGACAACGGCATATGGTGAATATACTTTGAGCAAAAAAAATGTATATATAAATGACGCAAACTGTTCCCAGATGGCCGTAAAGACGCCGATGACGAACCTCGCTCTGGATGCCCCATCACGTCAATAACTGATGAAAGCGTTGAAGGAGTGAAACAAATGGTGTAAAAAAATCGTCGAATCACTATTAGAGAAGTGGCTGAAGACAACGGCATCTCTATTGGTTCGTGCCATGCAATTGTTTCCGCAGTTTTGGACATGAAACGTGTAGCGGCAAAATTTGTTTCGAAACTTCTTAATTTTGAACAAAAGGATCGTCGAAGGAACATCGTTCAAGAGCTGTTAAATGACGTCAATGCTGATCTTGGTATGCTCAAAAAGGCCTTAACTGGTGACGAATCATGGGTTATGACGTCGAAACCAATGCCCAGTCGTTCCAATGGAAGAACCCAGAATCGACAAGACCGAAAAAAGCAAGTCAAGTTCGATCAAATGTCAAGGTTTTGGTTACCGTTTTTTTTCATTGTCGTGGGGTAGTACATCAACAGTTTTTACCACAAGGTCGTATTGTGGGAAAATAATTCATGGATTTTGCATCACGATAATGCATCTTCTCACTCGTTGCTTGTGTCTAAATTTTTGGCCCCAAAACAAGACCACAATGATACCTCAGCCACCATATTCAGTGCATAGGTCCCCCTGCGATTTTTTCCTGTTCCCAAAACTCAAGAAACCCATGAAAGGAAGGTAGTTTGAAACAACTGAGGAGATAAAGAAAAATCACCACAAGAACTCAAGGCTGTACAAGAAAGTGCTTACCAGAAGTGCTTCGAGAATCAGAAAAAATGTTGGCATGTTGGGGATAAATAAATAATAAAAATAAATAAATAAATACTTTTTTTATAAAACTTAAAGGTATCTTACTTTTTGAACACCTCGTATTAGCATAGGGAGTACAAAAAGCAATATTTTTGCATTTTTTTAACATTATGTGTGTCTCATGGGATGGAATTTTTATTTATTTGTTATTGCAGATTTTTGCCAACTTGTATTCGAAAAATAACGTCTGCGAGTTGAGCAAATTATAATAAAAAGAGAATTTCGCTCAAGAACTGTATGGACTTTGCAAGTTAAGCTTGACAAGTACGTACTTGTTAAGGTTTCTGTACTCCATTTCTATGCACCTGGAATGAGATAGCATCCCTCTCAAAATAGTCGTTACGCAAGCCGCTAGATGGGAGGTTTTCTGGTTCAGTTCAGCCGCTATGGATTTGCACTGCAACGTGATTGTGCACTCCTGCTCCTCCACAGTTCTGGCTTCCTCCAGCCAACGCTGCACAGCCTTGTTGTCCACCACGATCCCCTCGGCGTGGATTGGTGGCACTCTATAATGAAACAGACCGCCGCTTAATACCATGGGCTCAGAAAACCAGCTCAATCGCACCTTTGGTCGTCACGGTAACGCAACGCCAGCCTCTGATGGAGTCTTCTGTGGTCCCTCCTGTGTCTCATGTCCTTGCAACCGTTTAGATCGGCTTTTGGAGTGGACGTATGCTCCGGCTCCCCCAAATTATCGAAAAGCCTCTCCAATTCACTCTCACAATCACTAGAAAACGAGTTAAAACTTGTCACAGCTTCGGAGTCATCATTTTCGGCAGTTTCCAACACCGCGGGGGCGGTTAGATTTAATTCGGCAGAGGTGGTGACTACTTTGGACTTTTTTCCGATGACCGGCAGCGATTTGGTAGAAGATATTTCGCTCGTTGTGTCCGAATACTCGCTGTCGTTGGTGCTAGACGCGTCGTGCTTGGGTAATCGACTGTTTTCATATTTTGTTGTTTCTCGACCACCCGAACCATTCGATTCTTTGGTCACGGGCCGTGAATACTGATGAGCCAAATCGTCACTACATTCTTGGACATTTATAGTCGCGGAGGCGTCTACGAATAGGTTTCTGCTTACTTTCGGTGAGTGTTTGACGTATCTGTAAAGGAAGTAGTATTTTTTTTTGTAAATGTAGGGAAGGCACATTAGAAAACGACGAAAAACTTAATTGTTAATCTTGTATTCGGAAAGCAATTAAGACATTGGGTGGAATTTTATTAGTTTATTTTTTTAGTTTATAATTTTGTTTCTTTATCTTTGTAGAAAATGCATAGTTTTGAGTAAAGAAGAAAGAAATATATCTTCGCTTTAATTATGGATAATCAGTTTGTTAACGTCAACTCTTTTTCTCCATTTTTTTCTCTTCGTGTCACTGTATTTTTTTCCAAAAATACGGAACCGTATTGACATTTGCTATTTTTTGATGAATAAATAATATAAAACTAATCCGGTATTTCATTTAAATATTAATTGAATTCGATTCTGAAAAAGTTATCTTTATGGAAAACCATTTTTTTCACACCAGCTATTACTCGTCAAAAAGGAGAAATAATTTAGTATAAAATTGAAAAAGTAAATAATGATAGCACTTTTTTCTATCACGTAGGTTTAAATATACGAGAAATATATACCTCCAAAAATCTTTAAATATGAACAATCGACTCATTTTCTTCATTTTTTTTCTGTTCTTGTCAATATTTTTTTATGTCACTGTTTATTGTATTGTATTGTTGTTAGATAATTAATTTTGGTCTATGCCTACATGTTGTGCTCTTTATGTTCTTTGCTACATTATAAAAAGTGCTTCTTTATTAAGTCAGATTTTCAAAAGATACGTACTGAATTTCAAATTTTTTACTTCTTCTTTCTTAATGGTTGTTTCTTTATTTTAATTTTGTTGCTTCTGGTTCCTTTAATTTCTATAGAACGACCTCAATTACAGGAGAAAGTATATAGTTTTGGTATTATTAAATACCTTTTTGAATAGCTAAAAATTAAAAATAAAAATGCATTTATGACATCGCATTTTTACATTCAGGTTTTAATTTTTTCATTCTGCTGGCTTCTTTTAACAGTTGCAACAATCAGACTTTCAATATATTTATTTTTTTCTTCTTTAAAGGAATAAATAAAATAAATTAAGCTTTTTAGAAAATTTTAAATTATGGCTCAAAAATCAAACTCACTAGGCCCAAAGTGTTAAAGTCAGAATTATTTGAACAGAGAAGTAAGTAAACCGTTAGTTCGTAAACTAGCTCTAGGTTTTTTATAATCTGTCAAAAACGAGCCAGTTGTGGTAGAGTGAAACGAACAATTTCCTAATAAATCGGAATTCTAGAAAAATCTTTAACTTTTGCCAGTGAAATTTGCCGGATGAGTTGCCGAAGACTTCCGCTACAAAATAAAATCCTCAAATCGATAGGTTAATTAGTTGAATTGGATGTAATTAACGTACCATAAATGAAATGTCCGTAAAGTCACTGCTTGAGATAAATATTCGTGAGATTTAGTACCGTACCGTGTATTTAATTAGCATAGTTTGTTACTATGTCCTAAATTCCAAAATTATTTTCTCGAAAAAACCGCCATTACCTTTGTCTCTTAGCCGGCTCTGTGTTCGGGGCAGTGGAAAACTTTTTGGAAACGTGCGGCGAGTTTTTCCTCTCGCTCCTAACCAACCTCTGATCTATGTTTTCCTTGACGGGGCTCAGTTTCTCCCGGTAATTGCTCGACAGGTTCAACTTTTCACTTCCGCTGGACTCTTTGAATATGCCCTTCGGGATCTGATGAGGAGCGTTCGAGGGCTTTTCGTTTCCCGCGGTCTCCCGGTTGTGAGGACTAGTTTCCGTATCGGAAAAACCGGAGTCTTGACTGCCGGGGCTGGAGGACACTTCCCGGTACTCTAGGGATTCGCTGCCCCACCATACTTTGCTCGGGCTCCGTTTGAAACTCATTTCTAAGAGTTCCTGAAATCAAACACCAGGGTTTCGTTAATTCTATTCTCAATGGTGGCAAATTCGGGTTAGTATGTCAAGGCGATTAGCAATCAGACTCGGCATTTTTTTTAATTCATCATGAGAACAAAAAGAAACATTTTGAAGGATGGACTGACTTATTTGTATATTTTTCCAAAAGACGCCATTTCTTGTTCTATCACGTCATTTTTTTAAAGCGCTCTATATCTCAGTTTATTAATATACATATATTGAATATGTTTGTTCCATGTTAGGCATAATTTTTAAATGAATTGATTTTTATGAAATTAAATGTTATTTGGCAACACTGGATAAGATTAGATTTCTCCGCAAAGCAGCAGAATTGGCGCAGAAGCATCAATACAGCGTTGTAAGCTGCTTATGCGCACTTTGGTTGTACTGGTCGTCGTACTACGGTGTTCGTTTCTGCCTATTTCTAGTCTTCTAGAGCACATAAATATAGATAGAAGACATTGTATGAACGATACAAATATCTTTTGTTATATCTGTGGTAGTTATGTCGTACTAAAGCAAAGGCAAACTATAACTTGTGAAAAATGTATAGCGTGACAATTTTGGTGTAAAAATTGGCGACCAAGACAAGTCCCGGAATAATCATTCTATTTGTTCCGTTTGCGCTGAAGTATTAAGAAACTGGCAAAAAGGTATGGCGAGAGCCTATTAATCACAGAAGGTTTTTTTGTTGGACCGCAGATAAAAACATTATGCAAAGAAAAGGATTTTCAAAACACAATGTCCAATGTCGAGAAAATCGCCTGAATTTCCTTTAAAGAAGTAATTGATAAGTTTCTTGGGAAGTGCGAAAATTACGAAAGTATTGTTCAAAATATGTTACAACACTTTCATCTTCTAGGATGTAATATGAGTTTCAAAGTGCAGTTCCTGTTTTCACAGAAAATCTTGGAGCATTTAGCGAAGAACAGAGAAAGAGGTTTCATCAGGACGTTAAGAAAATGAAACGGCGATATCAAGGCAGATGAAACATAACGATGCTGGCGGACTCCTGCTGGATATTAAAACGGGATAGGCCATTGAAAACACACAACCGAATGTCCGGACAACGCAGCTTTCTGACAAAAAGACGAAGATTTCACTCAAAAAAGTTTGAGCAATTTATTTTCACTTTTTTAAATAGAATTCCACTTTACTGCATAACAAAATTAATTGTTTTAGAAATTTTTCCTTTAACATTTTCAAAAAAACCTTACGCGATACAAATAAATGCATATAATTTTTGAAATCAGCCTACCAAAAATTATGTCAAATCAGTGTTCAAAATAAAAACATCTGTCAAAAAGTCATTAGCCCTGAGAATTTTATGCAGCAACACCGCTGAACAGGAAGTGATTCGTAACATTTTATTATAAGTGGAAAAGTGGGGTTTTTCCTTTAAGTGTGATATTCGTGCCGCGGTCAAAAAATTCTTGGATAAACAGGGCAGTAATTTTGTGGAAAACTTTATCGAGAAACAACATTTTTCCATACTGAAAAATCGAGATCGTCCGTAGAAAGAACCGACTTTATTCAGTTTTTTTAGAACATAATGGAAGCATTGGGTGATGTTGATAATAAAAACTTATACAATGACGACGAAACTAATATCGCTGATGATCCTGGTAGAACGAGTACAAAACTATTCTCGGTCCTGTGTCAGGTCTGTGATAATGCAGTTGGACATCTGTTGCCCCCTATAGTAGTGTATAAAAGCACCAATTTATATGACAACTAATGCACTGGGGTATCCCCCGGTACTGTTAATGGGAACAGCCTTTCCGGATGAACCATTTTGAGCAATGGTTTTTTAAATCTCTTTTGCCCTACAAACGGCTACCAAGAAACCAAAAACACGAGCAGCTAGCCATTTTTCACCACAGGCCAAAAAAGCTGCCCTAGAAAATAATATTTATATATGCCAGTCAACGCCACACATTTGATACAGCTGGTAGACGTATTTGCACCCTTTAAGTGGAAGTGGCGCAAAAGATTCGAGAAATGGCGAAAGATGAGCAGATATTCTGGGACTTAACCCAAAGAACACTTCCCAGCCTTACTTTCACTTATGTGCAACAAAGTTCCAAAGACTGTAGAGACAAATTTAAAATCAGGATTTAGAACAACCGGACTGCACTGTATGAATGTTTATGAGGTCTTAAGAAAGATTTCTGGAGGATTGCTTGAAAACTTGGAAGAAACTGAACGAGTTCTTGATTCATCATTGGTAAAGTATTAAAGAAATGAGGGGAACAAGCGAAGATCAGAAAAAAAAGAAATGTTGAAAGAAGTTTGAAGCTGGAAAAGAGATGACTATTGAAGACCAAGCGATTCCCAGTGAGCAAATTCGAGATGAAGGGGGATCTCAACCCCAAACAATCCCAGACAACAGGGACCAAGAATTGCCTTGTTTCTCCGACAATCAGCCAGGGCTATCAGAAATATTATTTAAAAAAAAATCTCAGAAAAAGCCAAGAAACCTAAAGAAATGAATGACTTTTTAATTGAGAAAACACTGATTCATTTTACGTGTATAAGTGTGCGAAAATTTAGATGACGAGCTTATACTACTATACACTGAACCTTTTACCCTGAGACCGAAAAGGAAGGAAAATTTAAAAAGTTTAAATTTAAATTTTTTTTTTGCTGTAAACGTTATTTAGTTTTTAAGTTAAGAAATGTTTTCTTGGTTTTGGATATGTTCAACCTTTACAGTCTTATACATACCAAAGAATTTTACTGTTACTGTTTTTGGCTTTTTGTTTCATTTTAATATGTTTTCTTGAGTTTGTTTCATTTTAAAACTCGGAGGTAATTAAAACGTTTTATTTTAGTAATGATCAGTATAAAGTGCTTTAAATAAAAGTTTTTTAGCAAAAAAAAAACTATTTTTCTTGACCAAAAAAAAATCTGCCTCTATTACCGGGTCTTCTTTAAAACATCTAAATTAACATTTGTGTCAAAATACCCATACACACACATTTTTAGATTTATTTCTATTATTTTTAGAGCGATTTGATGAATCTAATTTGTTTCACAACGTTAGGTTAATAAATAACGACGTTATATTGAAAAATGTCCTAAAAAATTGTCAAAGTAGCCCCGTTTGATGGTACTCCCCAACAAAAGATCCCACAGTTGAATGAGCTAAGGATGCTTGAATTCTGCTATGATCTTGTGGCATTCATAAAATATTATATATCTGTATAATAGAATAAAGTATCTAGAGATCCGCGGTTACTCATCACATCAGCGATAGTCAAATCTTGCTGTTTGATGATGATGAAATTGTAGAGAATAATTTATAGACTGTGTATCTCTGCGAATTGAATTGGACGCTATTGGTTCTTGGTTTGTTAGTTAGTTATTGCCATTCTTATAATATACTTCTGAATACAGATAGGTATTTTGCAATGTTTTCAAATATGACAGGTAATATAACTTTTAGTTATGACTTAGGGTGACTTTTTTTAAAGACATGGGTGTAACGTTGTAACATAAAACTTTAGTAGAGACCACAAAACAAGCTCTAGAGATTTTGCAAGCGAACAGACTCCCCTGAGTTGCCGAGCCAACTGAATTTTCATATACCTTCAAATAGTATTCCACCTAGTTACAAACAAAATGTTTTGGTCAAAAGTAATTTCTATCAGTTGAAGATGTCATTTAATCACTTCCCTAATAATATTGACGTTTCCTGTCTCACAGTTGACCATATTAATTTAGGTTTTGTTACAGCGAATATAATGTATTAGGTGCTTTTACTATTATTTTATTGCCTTGTAGACAATAGTGATTATTTATTATTATTATTGTTATATTATATTTATAATTACTGATATAATCAACAAGCTAAAAATTTCTTTGATAAACAAATTCGTTTCTGGAAAAAATATTTTCGGTGGACTATTTTAGAACATTTTAAGTTAGTCATCACGTTGTATTTATCTTTGTTATTTCTATTACAACATTTGAAAAGAAAATTAATTATAGAGTTTTTTTAAAAGAAAAAATAAACCTTCAAATTTTTTTGTTCTATATTTCCTGTTCAATAAATAATTATGTATATACAATATTTTCTTGCTTTTTCTTTTTGTTTTTCTAATTGTTAGCTTAAAAATATTGTTACTTGTAAAGCCATATTTAGATAAATATTTTGTACATTTTTGTATCCCAATAAGTATATATATATTTTTTTTGGTTTGAAAATTATTTCATTACCATACGTTTTATAAATATTCCCGTTTAGCTGTGTGCTCTACCTATTTTTTCTGCAACAATTCTCCGCAGAATATAGCACGCAACTAAATATAAATAAACAACATGACGCGGTGGCAAAATAAAAATATACTTCTGTGACGCATTCTCTCTATAAAGGATTGTATTAAACATGATGTGTTTTAAATTTGAATAATTGAAATATTTTCGTGATAATTTAATTTCAAAACATTTCCACATAAACAAATTTGTCTCCACTGTAAGTGTTAAAGAGAGAGATCGTTATATGTTTATATTGCATATTTATCAATATTTACTATTTTTATATAATTATGTAAAATGTATCCCAATTTTGAAAATTATATGCTTGGTGCAAAATTGATGTTTTCGACTTTTTGTTGCGTCAAAAATAAATTAGACAAGCCTTCCTGATTTCATTGATTGGTTTTATTAGGAAATAATGTATCTTGTCATGAGAGCACCATATTCCGTGTTATATAATTTGTAAAATATATTTGCCGACTTTACTAAACCTGCAAATCGTTTAAAATTCTAAGTAAACCGACAAACGATAGCCGTGTATCGAAAATCGGTCATTAAGACTCAAATGTCACTGGGAATTATGTCAAGTATTTCGGCAGTACATTCCAGTGGTGTTCGTTGGTGCGATCGTCAGTAAGCTTATCTTTGTTTATTTTAAATGAGTCACGGGAAATCGTAAACAAAAGTTTCCAGAAGCAATTAGGAGTCGGTAAATAAAC